CGCTCTGCTAAAAGGAACTCAACATCCTTATAAGACAAACATGGGAACAGAAATACATTAGCCTATTGGGCTATGCACAGAAATTCAAATAGCTGGAGCCTGAATTGATTCAATCTTTGCAAGTGAACAGACATTCAGGAAATGCAGGGCAGAAGCTGGGGGGCTCCTCGGGGACAGAGTGGGGAAATAAACCTCCTCTCTGGCCCTCTGCCTCAGGGGGCCATGCTGGCTGGTGTCTGGCCATGCCCCTGCCTCTGTCACTGCTGCGGAGAGGATGGAGCGCCAAGAGGACCCTGGCTCAGGTCCATGCTGGTGGGACAAGGAATGGGGAATTAAACCCTCTCCTAGTCCAGTTCACTCCAGGCTACTACAGAGGCTGGCCATGTCCCAGCTACTAGAGCAGTGAGTGGAGAAAGGTCTGTGGTAGTGGGACAGGGGAAGGAATAGGGAAAATAAACCTTTTCCCTGCCCCCTTTACCTTAGGCACTGACAGGGCGCAGTGTCCTGTCATGCCTCAACCCCTGCTCTCGCTAGGGAGCAGAGGGGTGGGACCAGCCCTGCTCCCCTAGAGCAGAGAGCACAGCCCCACCCAGGGCTGAAGAGCATGCTGGGATGCTGGGGGACTCTGGTTTAACTTGAACTAGGAAGGAATCTGGGACAGAAATCCCATAAACCAGTTTGAACTCAATGAGGTAAGTCTGATGCTACATTCAACCAGGTTTATCTCAAACCAGTTTTGCCCATTTTTAAACTGGTTTATGTGCACTGAACTTATGTTCTGTTACAGATTTAAACCAGTTTCTGATCACTTAAATTGGTTTATGTGCAACTTCTGTCCCTAGCCTTGGACACTAAGTACCAGGACTTCACATAGACAATGACACAATGGCCCATTATAATCTAACTGATACTCCATAACCTCTGCACTTCACAGGTGATAACAACCCACCTGAACAATCTTGTTCTTCCTTTATCAGGTTTTACTGCATCTCTATTGCCTTTTGGCTACCTGATAATTTCTCTTATATTTTGCTTTTATTTACATGTGAAATTTTAAACAGGATTTTGTTCCATTTGCTACTCAGCTCTGCTGTGTCGTCTTCTCTCCTAGAGGCCTGAGGAAAGGTATTGCGATAACTGAAAGCTTGCCTATGTCTATCCCAACCGTGCAGTTGGTTCAATAAAAGACATCACCCACAAAAATTCCTGCCTCTTAAAATAGTGTACGCTTAAAAAATCTTGGTTGTTCAATTACGTTTTTGGTAACACAGAGCTAATGCGAGATTTAGTAAATGTCTGCAGTGCTGTTAGATCAACCAATAAAAGTGCAAAGCAATATTATTATAATGTTGCTTCTTTTATTAGCTAATGTGTATGATGAGGTATGTTTGGTTACCATATGCCAGAGATCCATCACTAAGCAATAACAATTATTTTCAAACAAAGACTTGAAGTCATTTTTAATTTATGCATAAAGAATATTACATAAAAAATAGTATCCAAGGAGGCTATTGCAGGATCCAAAGACATTCCAAATGAGAGAGAAAATGGAAAATGTGATCTAGCTTCTGTATCCATCAGCAAATAAAGCTGTTCATACTAAGTCAATGCTATCTTATTTAGCTATATGAAGGCAAAAAGAATTTACACAAAATAGCACACATTTGTAAAACATGGATAAAGTATTTAATTGCTACTTACCCTGTTTAATTTCTATTTTAAAGCAATGAAATATAGGACTCTTAGAACTAAATCTTAATAGTTTTTAATGTACAGCATTTTTCCCTATGTCTTGCATCTCATTGAAGGAGTAATCCAATAGAAAAATCTGCAGTATTATGCAGTATTATGTTACCCAACCCCCCAGGGAAGCTTCTATTGACTACAGAGTAAACCAGTAATTCTCAACCAGGGTGCCACAAGATACTTTTAAGGGTGCCACACAATATTAGCGACAGTAAGTGTACAAACACCTACATACGATTCATAAGATAAACCCATAGGGTGCATTTCCCCAGGGACAAGTAGCAGCGGCACACCTTGTGCCGCTGCTACTTGTCCTTGGGGAATGCCTGCGCCATGTACGCTCCGGCACACAGCACGTTATCCCAGGTGGGGTAGGGGAGGCTGGGGCCAGCAACTGTGCTGGCTCCAGCAGCCTAATCTGCTGCAGCCACAGTGCTCCTGCAGAAGGGAGCCACCTGGCAGCCGGAGTGTGGCTCCACCTGGCCAGGCTCTGGTTTTGGGTGGCACATATACCACCCTGCTTTTTTTTGGCATGGGTTATTTGACCCCAGGATCTCTCAGGGGAAAGAAAACCACCTATGCTGCAAGGTAGCAGTGCAGGGAATGCCTGCATGTGCAGGTCTGTGGTGCCATATACTGCAAATTTGCGCTCGTGAGGACACAGCCATAGATTTCAAATAGGAACCTATAGGGTCAGAAACTGTTGTGGTCTTTCTGAGGTCTCTACAACAGGTCCTTCTTTGCAGCACTGTACCCTAGCCACTCATTCCCCAGTCTGTTTTATACATACAGGTATTCCATCCTAAGTGCAGGATTTTTGTATTTGTCCTTTTTGAATCTCATCTGATTGACTGCGGCCCATTTCTCCAGTTTATGGTCTCCATTCTGTAGTCTTTGGAGTTTCTATTTTTAAAAATTACTTTGAAGCATATTATGGCACTTCTTTCTTGTATTCCCAGTCAGTGGAATGGAAGCAAGAAGGGCGCCTTCCTTCTTATTGTTGGTGATGGGCAAAGGCCTATTACTGCTGTCAGAGTCCTTCCTTACTGTCCCTTGAATCATTTTCACTGAAAACAAACACTGATTCAGTCAAAAATAAACCCCTGCCCATTTTAAGTGTCAAGAAATGCTGTCATTATGCTTAATTACTCTTATATTGTTAACTTCTTGTACCCGAACTGGATGTAGACCCTTGCTCTCAGGTGTGTAATCTAAAGTTTATACAAAAATAGATAAAGTAATATGTTAGATCATCTCTCCCTTGGCCCCTGACTGACGGCCATATCACAGATTTAATACTGGCAGAAGTGCATGAGCTAAAGATGGTGAGTTAGTAGAAGAATTTCCTGACTGCTGTTATTTTAACCCAGATTTTCTGTCTACTATAAACAAGTCAGTGGAGTAGTAATTTCTGCAAAAGCTGCCAAAACATTTATAGCACATTTGAAATGTAAAGCTTTAAGAGGATTAACAGTTTCACAAACAGTCCCCTGCATAGGCATTATGTAGAATGCATCTGAATTTAAAACAGTGGACTGAGCAGATGGTGGATTTTTTTGCTAGTTAGTTTTATGAAAATAACTGTATGGGCAGTTGATTGGTTTTGCAGTCCTATGTAGACTATATACTTGTTACTACTTGAAAGAATATGAGGAAAAAAGATTGTATCAGTTAATTCTGCATATGCAATATGTATGAAAAGAGCCTGTTTCACAGAATATTTTACTCTTTATTAGAGATAAGTATCTAGGGCCCATTTTCCCATTGGCTTTAACAAATGTGGATACTTAGACCAGGGAAATGCGAGTACAAAATGGGCAAAATACATTACCAAATCATAGTTGGTAGGGTTGGAAGGGACCTGAGCAGATCATCATGTCCGACCCCCTGCTGTGGCAGGAAAGAGTACTGGGATCAAATGACCCCGGCCAGGTGTTTGTCTAGCCTCCTTTTAAAGACCCCCAGGGTAGGTGCCAGCACCACTTGTCTTGGAAGTTGGTTCTAGATCCTAGCCGCCCTGACAGTGAAGTAGTGTCTCCTGATATCTAGCCTGAATCTACCCTCTGCTAGCTTGTGACCGTTATTTCTTGTTACTCCTGGTAGTGCTCATGGGAACAGTGCCTGCTGGTCCCCCCTGACTAGTTTGTAAATGGCCACTAGATCCCCCCCTCAGCCTTCTCTTGTGGAGGCTGAATAGGTTCAGGTCCCTTAGCCTCTCCTCGTAGGGCCTGCCCTGATGACCCCTGATCATGCGGGTGGCCCTCCTCTGGACCTTCTCCATGCTGTCCACATCCCTCCACAAATGCGGCTCCTAGAACTGGACACAGTACTCCAACTGAGGCCCAACCAGTGTCGCATAGAGGGGGAGGATCACCTCCTTGGACCTGCCTGTGATGCATCTGTGAATGCATGACAAGGTATGGTTGGCCTTCCTAACCGCATCCCGACACGGTTGGCCTTCCTAACCACATCCCGACACGGTTGGCCCATGTTCATATTGGCCTCAATAATGACTCCAAGCTCCTTCTCTGCCTCTGCACTGACAAGAAGGGAGTTCCTCAGGGCAGAGGCATCAGTCCGTTAGTATTTTACGCTTCCTTGGTTAGATCAATCTAAGTATAACATCTGCACATACTCAATGTTACTATGGAGAAGCACAGAAGGCAATGTGTGGCCTGCCCTCTTTACATGATTTGCTCCTGCCTTTGTGGTGTCATTTTGAAAAACAATAGAAATTGGATCATTCAGAAACTTTGAAGGCCTAACCTCATGAGCAATCCATGAGTAAATAAATCAGTTCCTGTCCAATGGAACAACTGGTAGGTAAGTATTAAGTTGAAACTCAAATAAGCTTCCTAGCTTTGATGTTATTTTCTCCCCATAGGAGGAACCCATGGTTTCACAGTTTATTCACACTGAGACATGCTTCTTACCTTTACAACTTTTGGACTACTGGACTAAACAAAACATATACAGTTTTTTTTCTAGTTATTTGGGGAAGACTTTACACAACACATTACAACTAAATCATTCAAATACTGTGTCATTCTCAGATCCCAAATAAAGAAGAATTATTCATATAGACCATACAAAAATTCTTGAATAGTATTGCTTGAAAAATTTATAATCAGATGACATTTCTTAAGGTAACAATCATAATGATATGTTTATGGAAGTGCCTCAGAAATACTAACTTAACTGAAATCTAGAATAAATATAAAGACAATCCAGAGTCTGTTTTTATATTAGAACATACTATTTCAGGATGAGATTATGCTGTTTATCAAATTTCTAAACTGCACAGCTGCAGCAGCAGTACTGTAACAGAAAACTAAACTGGTGTCTTATCTTTCAACTGAGGTTTAGTTTATTATTCTTTCCCAAAGGTCACTGCTCAGATTATCTGTTTGACCACTCATAGCCAGCTCTACGACCTTTGCAATTTTTCTTTACATGTTAAAATATTTGACCTCAATCACTTACACAATGTGTAATGATGACATTTAAAGAAACTGTGACTCTGTCAAATAACTTTGTGTTCAAGAATACAGCTTATTTTTTTAAGCTATATCTATTGTTTCCCTTATGAAATACTGACAGAACTCAGTATTTCACACAGCATCACATAAATCACCTATGCCATTTAGTACTGTGGCACTTAAATGAATGATTCAAGATACATAATTGAAACATTATGGTGAAATAGTAGAATATTCATAAGCACCTTTTCAAATATTCTCTCAAGAGGCCTTCATTACTACCTATTTCTGTATAAAAAGGGCTCAATCCTGTATTTGTTGCCTACCCAAAGCTCTCACTCATTGGGAACACAAGGAGTGAAAATCAGACCCACAAGTGTGATAAACAAAGCTAGCTACTATGGGTTTTTAAAATAATGAGCAACTCTGGAGTGTATTCACACAGTTCTTTTTATATTTTGGATGTCCTATAGGAACCAAAATTAATGAACCCTTAAACTCTGGATTCCCTTGGAATGAAACAGTGCTATTATTTAAGTCCATAAGTTATTAAGATGAGGTTACCTTCTTCTTCTATTTGTCTCTATAAAATATTTTCGTGCCCGACTTCGATATATTTTTTGATCCTCCAGTAACGCTTGATGCTCTTCTTCTAAATCTCTTCCAAGATGAAACATTACGGTTCTATTAATATTTAGTTAAGGAAGTTGTAGCTAAAATCTTGGAAACTCCTAGTCATTATTCTTACTATGTAATAGATTGATTAAAAAACAAGCTGTAATTCTCAGGTATAGACTAAAAATAGGATTCTTTTTGTTTGCATGGATTTCATTGAAGGACTGGTGCTTTATTACGTACCTTTTTGAGAAGTAAATTGTATTCATGAGCAACAGAATGTGGATATAGAAAAGGTATTATCACAATGTACATGCATAAAGAGTGTAATTCCATCTCTCAGTTTCTATGACCGTAACAAGTTGCTGGGGCTTTACACTTATCATTTAGTTAAAGCGCCCCATGCCACCATTTTGAAGAGCGAAGACACTCAATACACGAGACGCCAAGGCTGCTGGAGCATGCTAATTAGCCCACTCTAGTAGATTTGATTAACCTGCTGTAATTACAGTGCGTCTGAACAGACATGTCTACATACCTCTTACTGTTTAATCTTATCTTTACATTCTAGATAATGAAACACTTGGGTCAGGAATGAAGAGTTTTTCTGAATCTTGTTCACAATAGAAACAACAAGAGCAAATAAATTATAATGTAAAAATCACACAATGTCCTTATGATCCAACACTACAACAAAGGTTACATTAAAAGTCCCAGGACTAGAGAGATTAGAGTAGGGAAACAAATATAAACTTTTTAAATCCGGCATATTTGGTAGTACTAAACAAGTGCATGCAGCAGCATCGGGACAAGCAAAGGGTACATACAAAGAGCATATCCTGCCATCTAATCCCGTTCAGAGCTCAGCAATACAAATGCTGAGAAGCGCCAGCACCTGAGCTGCACGTCACCCCCCACCACACGTGGGTACGCATTAGCAGTACAGCAACAGCAAAGTATTTCTCCAGCACGGCCAGCGTAATTCCGGGACCATCACAGCTACAACCGTCCTCTAAAAGTCCCCAGGCTTCTTCAGTTCTCTTCCGTACAGAGAGTAACTCTGTGAACATCGTCGGGGGTCTGCAGGGCGTGAATCCTCCCAGCAGCACGCCGTGTGCACACACTGCCAGGGCAGGAAGCCGGGTTGCCCTGTGAAGATGTGGCCCTCACTGGCCTGGCCCAGTGCTATACCCCCGTGAGCTCAGTACTACCTACAACACGCAACAATATTCCAGCAGGGGAACTGAACACTCCCTTCGTTTTAAGCAGTAAGGAGCGCAGCGGTGCCCAGGGCCGGATGGGCAGCGCCCGCTCTGCCTGGGGACCGGATCTGGTGGGTGCCCCGAGTGGGGGTATGGCTTGGCCTGTGGGGGGAAGGGGACTCGGCCTGGCTGCCACCTGCGCAGGGATTAGGAGCACCTGTCGGAGGTCGAGCAGGGCCCCGGCCCCTGCCCCGACGGCCAGTCCCGTGCAGCCGCTTGCCCCCCGGGGACCCCCCCGTTCCCCCGGCCCGGCCCGCGGAGGATACGCGTGGGCGGTGGAGGGGCCGCATTGGGCCTCCGCGGCGAGGCTCCCGCTGGGCTTCATCACCCGCGAGCGGTCGCTGCCTTCCCCGTCCGCGCTGCCGGCCC